GTCGCACATAGCAAATTAAATGCATCTTTTTCGGCCGAACAAATATAGAGTTTCTAGAGTAAAGTCGCCTGTGAACAACAACAAACAAACAAATTGTTACAGGTCAGAGTCCCTTTTTCTACACTTGTAATAATCACGGAAAAAGAGCCTTTCAGCTATTTTAAGCAGGAAATTTTATAACAAAACTGTAGCAAAACTAGACAACGTTACACTGTAACTTAAAAACCGTATTCTTGGAATTTAATCCTTTACTTTTGACTCGATTTTTGATCTTGATATGTGGCTTACTTCGGGCGAGAAAGTTACCGAGACTTCGACCAAGAAACGGCTACTTTCTACGACGGTGTTTTGGACAATCATTTCGACCAACTGACAAGCAATTTACTGTATTGCTGATATTGCAATCAGAATGGTAAATGTTAAAGAAGTAAAAAGAGCGAACGTAATGGAATTTGAAGCAGAAATTCAGTCTTGGAGGATTCATATTTCAAAGGAGGACCCAGATCAATGCTAAATGTGGTGGGCTGTTAGGCTGTTTACTACCACCTGCTGACAAGCATTGTAAATTTGAATCATGATCACCGGACGGACTTTCAGTGCCCAGGTTTCAGTTGCCTAACTTATTAAGTTACCTTAATCACGCGACAATACAATACAACCTACCTATATCACTCGAACCAGCTTAAACTAAATCCTTTGCGGAATTCGAGGCAGTATTTTAAGCCAGCGCATCAGTTCTACATGAATATCTGAATTTCCACGGAAAAGTCAATTGCTTAGCTCCAAATGATTTCTCACACTATGTATATTCAACCTTATAAATGTCTGACAGTCATATGATGATGCTATGTGAACCATCACTAATCGTTATGTTGCTGTTCATTAAGCACATCAAATCCTCTCACAGTGCTGGAAATATATTGGGAGGTGAATGATTTCTTTCTTTCGTTTCTTCTTTGTGGACACTTTCTTATGTTCGTAAGTTCTTAGGCCGTTTACAGACGGGCAGTTTCAAACTCCTTTTTTGTAAGTCAGCAATGGATAGCAAATAAATATATACTAGAAATAATAAGAAAACAGTGTTATTCAACTTCACTTAGTAGAGTAAAAATAACACGAATAAAACAGTACAAATACCGGAAGAAGTCTGGTTTGACCTGTTTTCATAAAAACAGTCGCACATAGCAAATTAAATACATCTTTTTCGGCGGAACAAATATAGAGTTTCTAGAGTAAAGTCGCCTGTGAACAACAATGAAAGTTGACATTTACTAAAAACAATCTAAATATTTACGTAATTCATTCCCGGCGCTCACCAAGTTCGTCCGAAGGAAAAATATATTTTTCTTCTTGTTCGGGCGACATCGGACGACACAAGAGAAGAGACAAATTTAAAGAGAGGCCAAAGACAAAAGACAACTACAGAAAATACGGTTGAAAAGTTTGGGTAGCTTGTTTCAGGTATGTATAACAAGCACCTACGCAAAATGTTTATTCCAAGCAAGCAGGTACAAAAATACAGGAAGTCAATGGATGAAAATACAATTGCAAGCAAACAACAAAACTTCAGTGCTCTGAGCAACATTGAACCTTTTTAGGTAACCCAAAGCAACGCATAATTTATTACAAACGGTAGAGTGGTCAAACCAAAATTTCTTTTGTAGGCCCGGGCCTACAGGTCTATGGGCTGACGGCCCCTGCCAGGCTTCAAAAGGAGAATAACAGAGTCTCATGTACTGATTAAGGATTTTTAAGCTACTAGAGCTACTACAACTACACACTTGTCATCCTCAGGCCAACTCCCCCGTGTACAGTGCATAGGTGTTTATCGGATGTTTATGATGCACTAACTTCTTGGCATTACAGGTGCCTGTCTTGGAAGTATAGAATTTTGAATGTATCTTTCAATACGGATACAGCCTTCTTTCCTCGCTCCTCACCATCCTCAGGATGATTGTATCTAAGCAGCTGATAAAGTCGTTGCATTTACTCCGGCAATGAGTCTTGGTTCAAAGACCCAAGTCACATTCGATTGTGACTCGCATGTACTAGTAACTTGTCGGTCAAAATCTCAACTACGTGAACACTCGGGCCCAGTCTCCGACACTCTCCCCCTATATGGCAACGAACGAGACATATGTTGTCCATTCTTCAGGAGACTGGGCAATAACAAATTAACATAGTTACTTGAAAGGTTTTAGAAAGCTACTAAGCAGTCCTATACAAAATACTTTTTCAAAGTTTTTACTGTCCACTTAAAGTTCTTAATGTTCAAGTTATCTTAATTCTCCTCTGCGTCAGCAATTTGAAGGATTTTCTCTTCCGCTCTAATGCAGCTGTTACGTTCACTAGCACATTAGTCACCGTTTGTGCTGAGATCAACTCAAGACGGGGAATAGTTAAACCCTCTTTAGAAAGCCTGGCTTTGGCTGCTACAAGCCGCCAGGTAGTCTTTTCCTGATTCTTGCTTCACCGGCTGCATACACAGCCGCTCCTATACCAGCAACACTTGCATCCCCAAATCCATGTAACTTAATTTTCTGCAAGAGCACGACTTACAGCTATTTGCTTGGGAAGCCCTTGCTCCCATCCAAGTTTCAGCCTGCCTGTTAACTCTGCATCCCATGACAATTTGACCCGACACGCCGTACGGTACAGACACTTTCCTACCAAAGTCACTGGTGAAACAAGCCCCAAATGGTCACAAATACTTGCAAGCTTATGAGGAACTCCTCTATTGCTTGAGGCTGCTTCACAGTCATGAAAAGATACAATGATCTTGTCTTGTGTTTTGTTCCATTCTCAGTCTTAGCTATATAGTAGGCTTGATCCTCCCGCCTGGGGCTCCCCAACCTGTTGCTTCGCAAATGTTCCTCTTTTCTTAAGGCTCAGGACAGAGGTTTATGCTACTTTATGCTCAGTGGACTTCCACTTTTGTAATGTGAATGTTGCATCTTCAAATATCTCGATCGCCTTCTCCTTTAGCAACTTGGTTTCTTCTTCTGTCATCCCACTACTCAACAGGTCATCCACATAAAGATTCTTCCGTATTTCAGTTTTTGCATGAGGTTCACCTTCCACCCAGTTGTCCAAGTGGTGCTCAATCACGCCACCAAGAAGAAGGGGAGATGGCGCTAGCTAAAATAAAGCTCTTGTAAATCGCAGTGTCTCAATATGGGAGTGTTCCCCCGGTCTCCAATGAAAACGCGGTGCATCACGATCAGCCGTTCTTATCCGTACTAGTAAAAATGCTTTCTTCAGATCTCCCACCAGTACCACAGGATGTATGCGTGACCGCCGGGACTAGCACCTTCCACAACTTGTTCTGCAGAAAGGGCCCTAGCGTACAAGCAGTCACAGCATCAGGATGGGCTTTTGCCGACGCGTCGTGGTATATACACTATACGCAGTCTCTTCTCGAATTACTGGTTTATGGGGGATATAAAACTCCACTCCCTGAGTTGGTTGATTAGCATTCTCCACAATTCCCTCAACTTTCTGATCTCGCTGTAGGCTTGTTCTACTCCTGTTCGCTTCAGTTTCTGTTTCAGGTTTTCCAGCCGACGAAGACTCCCGTGCTCGTTAGATTTCCCCCGGGGGGGTAC